ATTCTGAACGTATTTGTCAACGACGTCCTGCCAAGATGAAACTAACCTTCTCCAAGTCGTGATGTAGAATAAGCTGTTTAAGACATTCTCACCAGTCTTCAGTTTCTATGATTCACGGGTACATCACCGACCTTTTCTCGCCTAATCAGTGTTTTCGGTAGATGTATTTATTCAAGCACTTATTCGTACACAGCCTTTGCATTTGGTGGTGTAAAGCAGTTCTGCACTTTCAACGCGAAATAGACCGATATCGCGGTCAGCGACCGTGTCCAGTCTGAACTGCCATTAAGGTAACAAGGCAAGGGTCAGTGGTGAAGTCACACTGTGTCGTGTCACCCCATTTTCAGAGGCACAGAACAGTCGCATATGGTGAGACAGGGAGGCGTTGGGGCTCGTAAACCGTCACGGAAACCAAACTAGTGAGCTGATATGGATAAGGTCTGAGAACCGAAAGCAGAACATCACAAGAGCAAAAGTAATGATCGAACTGGACAACATCGTGGCTCCAAGCGAAGGTATTAATAATGTGAAGTCATCAGCATCATCGATAGCATGACGTCAGTGTTCAACACTGATGCTGCGCTTCCGTACAACCATGATTTATTTGAAAGCCTTATTGAGAAGAAAAGAATGAAGGTAGACAGGGACTTAGTGCTGGCTTACTACAGTCATTCCGAGATGCCTACCCCTCCAAACATTCACTCCGGCAATCTGGATAGAAACTGACAACAAGAACGCCACTGACATCGGTTGCCAGCCACATCTTGTAGTGTCTCCAAACAGGCGAAGTGAGGATGACGCGGTCCCCATCCTGGAAGGCGAGTAGCACCGACAGCAGCCAAACGTTTCGTGGTTTTGTTCATACCCCTTTCCCAGGTCAAGGGTTAGTTACCACTCTGAGTTAGGCATGGAAAACAGCACTATTTTCGGTAAACGATGGCTAGACATACGCAGCACATATCCCAACCAACGCAGATTCTGGTGCTGGACACATTCTTTAATGGAAGTGCCCGTTGCATAACCCGTGTTATTCAGATCGGTGGCAACTAACAGTGTTGTGTGTGAACGTATCAGTGGTTTGGACGTATTATGTGCTCACTCATGTCCGACTCTAAGCTCGTAGGGTATCATAAGACCTTTGAGGCAATGGTCTTCAACTGTAACACTGGTACTCAACGGTGAGGGGGCGAGGCAGTCAATGAAACACGAGCAAAAGTGACGAAACCTAAGGCAGTTCTCTCGCCAAAGTGACAAACTGTCGTATTACCTTAAATCAAATGAAGTACAACGTAGCTGGTCACATGCAGTTGTTACTTTCCCTATGACTATGATGGATAAATATACGTGCGTTTGATGTTCGCTTCCCGCATGTGAGTTTCGGGAAATAGTAAGGTGGAGATAGCTCCAGCAGATACCTTGAGCAAGGCGAGTGAGTGGAACTTTTGCCCCGTCAAATACGCGGGAGACACGAACATAGAATCCTGACATCCTCCGGATTATGAATCATTTGATGTTGCCAAAGACATACAGTTGGGTCAAAACGATGCACGAGTCGCAACCGAATAACAGCGTGGTTTCAAGAGTCATCGATCAAAAGCCTAGTACGAACATGTCATCTCGTGCACAATGGACTGTTGATTAGGTGTATTTACTGTCTGTAGCCTACCATAAAACGGAAATCCATTTGCACCAAATCGTCATTTGAGGTTCTCATCGTTCTTCTAGGAAAATTCAAATTCGGTGTATTTAGACCTCCTACCAAAGCCAGTGCAACATATCTCCAAACTACACCGGTTGTTACGATTTCACTTTGTATCCCATCTGGTTTGGCTTTTTTTAGAACCGGTGGATTTCGTGAATGACTTTTTTTATGGGCTCTCAAACACCATATTAGACTCCGGAGTGTTTGAAGGTAGGAGAACCAAGCTAGAAAGAAGTGCCATCCAAATGACTAAGAGCCTCCTTCACGTCATTTCGCTGCAAAGCAAACCCTTCCTGAGAAAGGCAGGTATGGTTCCTCGCTGGCCTTGTCACTGACGCGAGGAGTCTTACGAGGTTTCCCTACTGTTTATAACCTCGAAAATAATTTTTGTCATACATAGATTTCCCAGCGGACAGAGTCAGGTGGTTTTCTCAAACGATCTACTCAGATCCGCCTAACGGTTCCGCTTCCTCAAACCAATCACTTGCATTTCGCCGAAATGTTCCGAACCTCCACCTGCAGTGTCCGCCCAGAAATCCTATTGTAATGAACACAACTGGCCGTAAGTGCCATCCTTAGGTTTGTCCAGCAGGATAGCTCTTTCACCCAACAAACCCGGCGGATTCAACTACAGTCATACCACGTTGCCTCAATGTCGAATCCGAATGATTAGAACACAGCGTGCATACTAGTCCCTTAGTCCATATAGCTTTAGAGATTTGCTGGCAGATCGGTGTATACATGTGAAGTAACTGATCGATAGGACATTTATCATTGGGAGAGGGGCACGTGTAGAAATTTCCATGGGTCTTCAGTTGTCATAGTCAAATAAAAGTGCCTTTTTCAATCAACATGGGCTTCCTATTCGTCAAAGCCCCTATTCAGAATGGGCATAATTGTGGTGATAATGTTTTCAGAGCCTTATTGCTGGTCTACCTACAGAATAGATGAAATTCGAGGATTTGATGTGTATGAAAGGCGTCCTGCTTTCGTCTGAAGTGCAGTTAGATAAACTGGTTGATGGTTTTGCAATCGGCAGTAGCCTACAACCCGTACAAGAGGTAATCTTCCTAGGGATGCTTCTGATAATGTGTTCTCACTATTAGTACACGAGCGGTGTGTTGGTTAGAAATTCACGATCTTTTCAACTACTGACATTTTCGGCATGTTGTTATATCATGGATTCCAGTTGTTTATCGAAATATGCATTCAACATTCGAACAGTCACGATACGGTAACCTGTGGAGATACTTGCGAACGGATGTGCCAATCGGTAGCTGCAAAGTCCGACCTTCGAAAGTCCATATGGAGCGGACGATAAGTGGATTTCTTCAGCTTCGCGTCATTATTATATGAATACGGATTGATCAAAGTCCTGTTTTATTTATTGTTAATGGTTTATTATTTGCAAGGCACTGCTTTTGAAGGAAGTCAGTCAATTAACCGGACAAATCACTGATATTCGCAGTAATACAAGAGAGAAAGGGAGGGACCTACCTACCCTAACAGTTAAAATGTGGCGAGTTGACGAATGATACAACAGCCTTTACTCAGGCATTTTTACGCTCAGCTGTAGTAACCTTTCGGTGCCTAGCTGCCGTGCCACACGGAGGCACAAGGGCTGAGATACTGCCAGGTCGCCCAAGCCTAGACAGGGGTAGAGAGTTTCATACCACGGACCTTCAGGTCAGTAAATTCGCGCTCTAACCACTTGGGCCATCTCGCCCCACTCGGGCATACTGGCGGATTTCTCGGATCTATCGACCTCTAACGTAATTTTTCTGCCAGCGGCGGTCACTTGTATCGCTAGAAGAAATCGACGTCTAGGCGGACGCACGACACAGCACATATGATACATCCTTCTGGCATCGACTGAGTTATCTCGGAGAGGCCAGACGTTAAACCGCTCTGTGTCCCTAAGCAGTTACTTCATAGACCAACTTTGTTTCGTGTGCTATAACGAACACAGAATTGGACTTCACCTAGGCCATGCTCACCTAATTCCGCGAGCCAACAGCGCTAGTACAAAGTGTTGAAGTAAGGCTTTCGGGATGTACTGGTTGTGATCATTTGTCACCAGCTCAACTACAACATACCTTGTCTACCGTTCAGTTTTATGGAGAGCAGGCATATATGCACCTGATGATTAATTTGTTCACTGAGTTGGGCAATTTGTTTGAAAACGCTTCATCATCTCTGGTCTTTCCACCATGACCTTTGTCCGTCCCCCCCCCCCCACAATGAGTCCATGGATCTGAAGGATGGGTCGGTGGTATCGCAGAGTTGGCGGTTTCTCACTCAAAACCAAGTAGTGAAACACACTAAAATTAAGGAAATTATGTTGATGCTAAAGACAGGATCAATTTAATCTCTTGTTAGTGATATTGAACAACTGAATGTGCTGCACAAAGGCTGCCCATGTTGAAAAATGCCACAAAAGAGATCCCATCGAATCTCTCGTGTAGGCCGAAACCAGTCTGTTTCGATCATTTGCGCATTGAAGCAGAACACAAGGTTGAGGGTGACAAGGGAACTAAACCTCCCTGATGAAACCCAAAAAGGACAGGAGCGGTCATGGGTTGTGTAAGAACTTTCAGCTTTTTTCCAAAATGGTAAGTTGACAGTCCATATGTGAGCTCTGTCAGTCACGAATTTCTTACTATTTCCCATAGCTATGTTTGAACTGATGCATTTGTGCAACCGATCCTGAAAGGCACACACTTCAAGTAGTCGTTACAACTCCGTAAAATGAAGAACGGGGCCTGTTAGCTACTTACTTAGGTTGCAGAACTTAGTCAGTACGAGCATTAGTCGAGCTGTTTGAGAAAAAAGAGGACCGATGATGGTTCTTTTAGTGTGCACTTGCTGAACTTCGTTTCTTGGTGTTTGTGGAACGATGCCGTGAAAAGAACTGGATCTGAGACGAACACACACGTTATTTTTACCAGTAACCTGGTCAATAACAGAGACCTGAAGTATTGATTCTCAAATATTTAGGTAGCTGTGAACTTCCAACTGGTTCATGAGTGTTCATGCCACCCGAAGGAAGCACGAGGGCTGGGATACTGCCAGGTTGCCCAAGCCTGGACAGGGGAAGTCGAGAGGCAGAGGTCGGGTTCGAACCAGGGACCTTGCGGTCAGTAAATTCGCGCTCTAACCACTTGATCCATCTCACCCGTTCAAGAATGTGCAACAATACGGACTGTTCATTAGGAATACAAACGACAGAAGCTTACTAAAAGCGTCCAACAGTAGCGGGCTGCAGCGGTCTGATTCCTCATTGAAAATTAAAATCGGTGGAAAAAGTATTTATTCGCAAAACAAGGAAAAGACTATCAGACTACAGCACCGGGTTCCTCGTCAGTCGAGGCCATAACAATTGACACCTGGCATTCTGAATTAGTATCTCCGAAAGCAGAAGCGTTCCTCAGGAGAGCCCGTAGGTCGGGGATAAGTTGACTAGAAAGGAAACCACGTTCCGTAACTGAGTGACCAGCCAAAATTACGGTGGTACCCCTCGCGACTGCATCAAGACGTTCGTGGTGTGACAGCTCACCGGTGACGAGCAGGTCTGCGAAACTCGTTCGTTCCTCACGAAACACCGAACCACCCGAACCGGCACAAACACCAATTGTACGCACTGTATCATCTGTGTGAATCGAAGAAGGGCGCATGTGACGTATACTCAGTAAGCAGAAACACGAGGAACAACAGGAAAAAACATATTCAGCGAGAACGTCTAGATATCATGAAAACTAAAGCGGTAGGTGAGTACTTGGTTGGACCGGGATGGCACACGAACTCGATCATGGAAAGTAGACCGTGACCACAAATCGTTACGGATGTGGTGAATCAGGCAGTCACGGAGAACGACAAAAATACTTTCACTCACCTAACGTCTTCCCATTCCCAAAGGCAACCAGAAGTTGATCACTGCAGAATAGTGTTTTGTACTGGGATATCACGTCAGAAAGTTTCAAAGGTGACTTGAGGTATCCAACGCGTCCATAACCTTCTTTACAAGTGTCAGTCTGCAAAAGAATAGAAAGATTTCAAATGGCAACATACTTCAGCTCCAGGCCCTTGGTCCAAGACGGGGATCCCCAGTAATTGCAACTGTTGCAAAGCTGCACTCACGTGCTCAACCGGACATTTTACTTCTGCCACTCGTCCGTGAGCACTGAACTACGAGATGTGAACATAAGAGGTAAAAATTCACCTGGGGATGTCTGTTTGGATTCCGGTCACGGGAACAGTCATGCAAAACTGTCCGAAATTGTGAGTAAACGGTACGCGTAGATAGACATAAGATTCAGAGCGACGTACTGCGGGTATGACGGACTGAATGCGCTCAAAGGCTACAAGTGTGAACAAGCGGTTAGCTCTTACCGAAAGGACTGAGTAGCCAGTCATTTATGCCTCCGTCTTTTGCATCCAATCCAGTGTGTGGTGAGAACACGGCAATTCTGTTTTCTAAACACCGTATCACAATCCGTTCCTTCCAGCTAAATTGTGTCAGTCGCTTGAATGGAGTGAAAATGGGAGGATGATATGAAAGTATCAGCCGAGCCTGGTTACGGATAGCTTCCGCAAGAACTGGTTCGGTCAAGTCATTTGTGACAAGTATTTTGTCTACTAAGTGTGGTGGTGAGGGTTCCACAAGAAGCCCAACATTATCCCAAGTATCGGCGAGATGAGTTGTGCAGTATTGTTGGAGAAAACGTGTTAACTTTGTTAACTCGATGCCTTGTTTGGCCACTGACATTATTCATGTGAACACGCAGAAATCACACACCACCACTTCCAGTGTACAGCTGGAAAAAAACACCGAGAATGGAAACAATTGTGAACATTTTAGGTCATAATCCAGACGAAACAGTTCATTGGCATTAGTGAGAAACTATGTCGGCTCCTCGAATAAAGATTACTCAAGATAAGCGCTCAGTGGGCTAATGAAGAGAACAATGAGCAACCACACAAGCCAGTTATAACATATATCAATAAATGATGCTGAAAACATCATCAGCACGTGACATAGCACTGGCCTTGAAGTGCTAAGACCCAAACAACCACCTTGCCTACTTAAGACCACTTCTAGCAGTTTTAAGGATACACGCACTGCCCAAAAAGCAGCACAAATGGGTACCACAGAAACTTTATACCGAAGCTGGCACATAATTCTACTGCACAGATTCGACTGAAACATCCCCGGTGCTTTATCCAAGAACAAACCTTTCATGTTTATCCCGCTGTATAAAAGTACCTGCTAAGAACATGTACTGGAGTAGATTATAGTGGTTCTGTACGCGTACTATTGCATTTCGATGGGTATATCCTGGTTGTGCGGAAGAGAATAAAATTCCAGTCAGAAGGACATGGTTTCGAGTCTCGGAAGCTGTCGTCCAAATTGCGCGGCGAGTCAACTGGAACAAGCTGCGGACGCTTTTACCAATGTCCGCATCTTTCATTCATCCAGGCTTTCGGGTCCATCGGGTATTTAAGCCTCCAGACATACCAAGTTTCACCCGGCATTGGGTGAAGATTGAGGTTAGCCCTAATCGCGACCTCGAGGTAGCACAGTGGTTAAAGGGGCGACGGTATAAACCGAAGGGTCCTTGGCCCGAATCATACTCATTATCGACAGAATAACTCCAGTGCTTAACAATAACACAAGCTTACAGTCATTATTTAGTTGAAAGCTTTGTTGTGGAGAAAAGAGTGAAAGTGGACGGAGAAGGGAACCAACGCTAGTCTACCATAATCATTCCAAGGTGCCTACATTTACCGACGCTCACTCACTCAGGCAATCCGGATAGGAACTGACAACACGAACGCCACTGACATCAATTAGTAGCCATATCTTTCAGTGTCTATAAGCAGACGCAGTGGGGATCACGTGGTCCCCACGAGTAGAATCGACAGAACCCAGATTTTTCACCATCTCTCCGCCAGATAAAAGGTTGATCACATCTCTGCTTACAATACTTTGAATTAGTCACGGAAAACAGCACTCTCTTCGGCAAACGATTGTTCAGTGTGTGCTATAGATGGCCTAACGAACGCAGCTTCTGGTGCCAGAAAAATCGTTTCGGCGTCTAACCGCCACGCCACCGGAAGGTGGCACGGGGGCTGGGATAGTGCCAGGTTGCTCAAGCCTAGGCAGGGGAAGTCGAGAGGCAGAGGTCGGGTTCGAAGCACTGAACTTCAGGTTTAACCTTCGCGCTCTAACTGGGGGCGAGATGGCCCAAGTGGTCAGAGCACGAATTTACTGACCGGAAGGTCCGTGGTTCGAATCCGACCGCCGCCACTCGATTTCCCCGGTCTAGGCTTGGGCAATCTGGCAGTATCCCAGCCCTCGTGCTTCCTTCGGGTGGCATGGCAGCTAGCCACCGGAAGGGTGCTACAGCTGAACGCTCTAGCCACTGAGCCATCTCGCCCCCTTACCGTGCCAGCGCCAAGTAAAACTGTGTCCGTGCAGACCACGAACCCATGTGGACCCGCGAGGCCGGAGAAATGGAAGAGGCGAAAATGCTGGAAAAGCCATCAGGATGTTCAACTTGATTTGTTTGACTGGTCCTCGGAATTCTTTTGTCACCGAAATTATCAGGGACAAGATTGGCTCTCTGATATCCGGCAAAGTAAAACGTTTGGACTCCTGGGTGCGACACGTCGAACAACAATTCAGTTGGTCATCTGCTACCTCCAATCCTGACTGCCAGCCTTCAACATAAACATGGACTGTGAACATGAGATCCCCCTTAGCCTCAGAATACGACAGTGAAGCATCGATGTTGAACACTGTTGTCGTGCTGTTGGTGATGGTGATGCAGCCACAGAAGTCTCCGAGTGTATACCTCTATTCAAGTGTCACCGTCTGTCATGACTATATAACCCATACCTTTGCATAACCCATTAACTCGTGATTCTCACTCTATTTTCAGCTCATGTACTACAGTTATTAGACGATTAAAGCGTACATTACGTCTTCCTATTCTGTCTCCTTTCTAATCCCGTCCTGGAACTACTCGACTCTCGCAACACCGTCCTAATGACTTTCCACCAGCTCTGTTGAAGCATGGCGGTAAATCCCTCAGCCAGGCCTGCCTAGCCTATATCTGCGCCCATCTGGGAGGGAGTCATCATCATCATCATTGTAGTGGGAGTCGATAACTTAGTTAATCGATTATTGATCCGTTGAGTAGAATGAGAAGACTTCGCCTACGGATAGGCTTTATTCAACATATAAGCACAGTATAGGCTAAAATGACAAGTGAAAGTGAATTAATGGAAATAGCAGTAAAGCGTAACTTTCACTACAATCATCATCATCATCAAACACAGCAATATCAGTGTTGGCACCGATGCTTCACTGGGAGGGGGAGACCGCTCCAGAAATATGGGGTGAGTCGATAATAGTGCCCATTTTCAAGAAGGGTACTCTCAGTGAATGAGGTAACCACAGGGATGTTAGACTAATGTTGTAACAAGGTTTCTGCCACCACTGATTCTTCATCGTCTTGCAACGGCACGAGAATCCTTGACTCGTGAGCATCAAGCGGGATTTCGACCGGGTAAAGGCTGGGTTGAACACATCTTCACACTTCATCAGGTGTTAGAGAAACGCCATCAGTACAGACTACCCACAGTCTTGGTATTCCTTGACTTCAAGGGTTCGTTTGATTCTGTCGGTTAGTCCTGTTAACCAACGCATACCCCAGGGGTTTGAGCATGATCGGGTTCCTATATTCACATCACTGTGTGTCGTGAGGTGTGCGCACCTCAGAACACCTGACATAGGTCAGCACTAGGTCCCTTACTTCACCAATTCCTGTATTTCCTTGTTATTCTAAGGGTTTAAATATAGTAAGATAGAACTCGGGTTAGAATGCGATTTTAGTGATCAGAAGGTATGTGGTTCGAACCCGACCCCTGCATCTCGGCTGCTTGTCTAGGCCCGGGCAAATTCGCAGTATTTCAATCCACATGCTTCCTTCGGGTGGCATGGCAGCTAGGCATCGAAAAGGTGTTACAGCTGAACGATTGTTATCATTTTCAGATAAACTTTGTGCGGCAGTGAAGCATCAGTGTTAACACTGACGTTACTGCCTCTGATGGTGTTAGTAATGACCATGATGATGAAATACGAGGATGTTCACCACAAAAGAACAGTTTGCGGGGATACGTGTTGCGCCGAGGATATCAAGCTGTTGGTAGACGTGTGATTCAGAATGGTCCGTTTCAGAATGCGTTCCTCTCATCTTGCACGCTATGCTAGTGAGGCTCATGGGCCTGTAACTGCCGGGCGATAAGCGGTCATCAGGTTTGTAGATTGGTGATAATTCATTCCTCCCAAACAGACGAAGGGTAATCTATATGGAGCGACTGATGAAGCATCAGGTATATATATGATGCCAAGCTGAGCGATGTTTCTCTCAGGACCCTAGGATAGAACTCACTTGGCTCCAACGCACAGTTGGTCAGAAGCTTTTCGCAGTTCCACTCTGCCAAGATTTAATGTAGAGAGGTTTCTGGGGCAGAATAAATGTCCGCATAGTGCTCTCTGTAGGCTTCGGGTGCCAAGGTTGGGTCACTCATTTTTTCCCCTCAATGGGGTTGGTCGTTGGCTTGACTCTTCGGCGGTGGCTTATGCACGTAAACAGTGAAGTTTTGATCTTCCTGGAAAGGGTTAGTATCATGTCCTATTCTAGGAGGTTTAATTAGCGGTTCTGCATCTTACGAAACGTCAGCTCGTCTTCTGGGTCTCCGGCAACTAACCTTTTGAAGGATTGTTTGAACCTCACCTACAGAAAACGCTGAATTATCCTGGGTAGCTTGTTTGGTTCCTTGGAACGAAGGCCGCATCAACTTCGTGATTTTTTTGGAAAATGGTACCGCATCCCATCCCACTGGAACTAGTCTCAGTCTAACCAGGTCAAAGAAGATACGCGTTCCTGAGAAGTCTGCACAACACGTTCCAAATCCTGTTCTGAAATTCAGGGTTCCTTGACCAGTAGCAGATCAGTACACAATATTGACTGTGTGCCAGAGGAGCCTTAATTATCACCGCTGCGCAACTTTAGTCAGCACCGACTCAAAATGCCCACCACGCCTGACGTTCTAGAATGCCGTCCAGGAAGCCTTGAGAGTGTTAACGTCGCGTAAAGTGGTAGCTGAAGGAGAGTTTCTTGATGGTTTGTACGAAGAAGTCGCCTTTCACAGGACTTAAGGGGCAGGGGTAAACGGCACCAAGAAGAGTCAACCCCAAGCAGCAGGATTTGGATTCGCAGCGCACGCGGACAAGATAGGCGAGGCATGATTTAAGCATAAACCTGCCCCAACTGATCTCCTGCATTTCAAGTTAGCCGGAGGAATGGTGTAACCATCATCCAGGATCTCAGCAACAGAGACGTCTGCTTCGGCAAATGCGATTATGGATGGTTGCTCAAGGTGAAGCAACTGTCGAATATAAGAAAGGTGACTAAAAAAGACCGGAAGTTTGAAGACAGACACCTCAACACTACCTTTTGCTTCATTCAAGAGTAAGGAGCACACAAATGACGTGCCATCAGACGGGTTATCAGGTACAATAGCTGTATACCGGTTCTGATTTCAAGACTTGCCTATTTCCTGCTTCAGTGACTCCAGTGCCCGTTGCTCAGCTTTGTGATGTTTTATGCCCTCCTCATGGTCCGACATTTTGTTTCTGGGGCGGGTAGTCCCATGGAAGGAAATTTCGATGGTTGCTGCTTACAGCATGTGAAACTT